ACTGTTTCCACAGACACAGGAACAAAGACACTTGGTAATAAGGAAATGGCGTTTGTCGGAAGATGGAAGTCAGTGGGAGTGTGGATGAAGTTTGTATTTAAACGATCTAAATTAGGGAAGGGTTTAAGACGTAGTTATACATATAACATCGGGCATCAGCACAAAAGTAACGACTCTAAGTTGAGTCGTCTTATTCATAATAAACCTTGCATTTAGTAATATGATATCTAGTGTTATTCGAGCAGCGGAACTATGATTGTCTTTATTTATAAATCGAAACAGCGCTTTAGCGCCGGCATACAGAGCCCTGCGCAGACACATTTAGACTTGCGTCGCTGACAATTGATAGGCTTGTAGTCTGTTTTGCTACTGATGCTGCAATCTCTGATGGTGAGCTCTCATTTGAGTTCGAAAACTCGGAATAATAAATAAACTTTTTGGATGCTCGATCCATCTTCTTCTTTACTTGTGCAACCATCTCGAACGCAAATCCTCGCACCTATTCGTAAAGGATAATTAAGTGCATTATTTCGAATGGCTGTTTACGACATACAAAAACCACATACCTGGCTCGCAACTGTTGATAGTTATACGTCAACCTCCACAGACATTGGCTCTGAATGATCATGTAAACCGTAGATCTTGTTGACCACTGACCTTAAGCAAGGAGAATAAGCGCAGGACCAAGACTTTGGAACGTCGGTGTCGGCGATTTGCAGGTCAAGATCTTCTCTCCTAGACCCAGTCGACAATCTATGAAATTACTGACAAATAATCCCCCACGTGATTTCAGAAGCTAAATCACTTGCCGATTCGGATCAAGTTATCGATTTTCCAACCACAGCTCTTTGCCGTCACGAGATCCCATTGCCCCAACGAACACTATACTGCCGCACTACCTCAGCGCTGCCAGCTGTGGAATTATACATCAATCCAACAGAGTACATTTTTAATGCTCCAAGATGCCAACAGGCGCTTTGTTGTTGTCGGTTGCTGCTCAAGCTCTCGCAACTGTTGCCTTGAATCGCTTCTGCCGTCTGCTGGCCATTCGTGTAAGCGGTTTTATTCGCTGTACTGTAAGCCTCGTTCATCGGTCAAAAACAAAACACCTGTTTGAGGCTTGCTGCATTGAGCTTTTGGACGACTACAACGCAGCCCTCCGAATAGCTTTGTGGAATTGCCTCTACGCAGAGAACACTTACCTGCAGCTGATGATGACGACGGCGTCGCAGATGAAAGTGTCGCCCCCATCGTACCGCCGAGGAATGAATGAACTCTGGAACTTCTTTGACGTTTGTCGCAGACGTGCTCACTATGTGAGCCAGTGTCTCCGATGCAAAGTTCCTCTTGAGGGTCCGAGTCAGCGTTCGATTTTGGTGGATCCGGCACAGATTCCCACTGGATCTTCAGTGGCACCGATGAAGATCGCGAAGGCCACGGAGCTAAGGGTTTTTACAGTAAGTCACAGTCATCTTTTACACTGCCAGATTTTATTATCCAGATAAGCAGTTGGCGCGCGTACGTAGGCTTTCGATAAATTCTCATTTGGCCATTACATTTGTCTAGGAAGGGAGTAAACAGTAAACATTCGAGCAATTACGTTCATCATTACATGTTAATTATTCATGGGAATAGGCGAGGGCGGTTGATAATAGGCAGCTGGCTACGCGGTCGCACGAGTCGGCGCTTATCCAAAAGAATACTGGAGCGCTTCCCGACATGGTTGGGTAAAGGTGAATTCATGAGTATATACAGCGCCAGTCTCGCGCACACGATTGATTACGGATATCGTATGGACCCCAACGAAGCCTTCAATGTGATTTATAGGGTCCCACCAAATAAGCCAAAGTCACTAAGTCAGCGTTTGCTAGCAACAGCAGAAGCAATCGCTATCAGGTTGAGGAAGTTGGTATTGTGCGCGCAAAAGAACCTCCTGTAATCTCCGAGTTTGGCATGGCCAACGGTCCCATAACTCACTGCATTTACCGCGCTTTTTCTCTCCATTCCCTCCTCCCCCGGTCCGGCTTCAACAAACTCTCAGTGCCGCGTAACCAGCCGCCTAGTATCAACCACACTCCCCTATTCCCAAGACTAATTTATATGTAATGATGAGCGTAATCGCCCGCATGTTTACCGTTTTCACTCTTCCCATATAAATGTGATGGCATGATGAGAGTTTATCGAAAGCCCACGCATGCTCGTCAACTACTCTTTTAAATCTTCTCATGGGAATCTTTGTAACTTTAAAACAGTCTAAACGATTTTATTATCCTTTACAATTAGTTAGATTTTTCACCCCCGCACAAACACACACGCGTTTACGCCTGTATGCCATCAACTATCATTTGTAGTCATAACCAAAGAACCAATTTTACCGACCGCACCAAGACCCGGAGAAGCCGTAATGCTGACTCAAGCACGAAGTTACGTATGCTGAGGCAGATAAGCACTATAAAAAATAATAGTGGGGCAGGCATGGTTTAGTTTACAAAAAAGTCTGGTGAATTTTTGACGTCGACGATTATCGTAACTCGTCCCTAGTCCATTGTGAGCCAAGCAGGCGTGCGGGACAATTACAGAGGGCGGGGAGGGAGTGTTGGCACGCCCAGGTGCAAACTCACGCTGCGCCAGTCACTTGCGCCTGCTGTCTTATCTGGTCTTCTGTACTCTGCCCTGACACCAGACTCAGCTGAGTAAAGCATGAGGGAGTGTGGTAGATGCTGCGCAAGTCTACTATCCTTTTAAACTGATTCACGCGCTAGTCAGCGTCCACGTGCCCACCATACTGTGGGGGCACACGATGAATCTCGTTCAAACCTACGGGTTGAGCTCTCATTACGGTGACTGTGTTATTCAAAGCAATGTTGGTCAGATATTCTCCAAAAACTGTGTATAATAGGCAACTGTAGCCAGGCTTATCGAATAAAGCGGACTTACTTAGAAAACAAATAGAAGTTTGAAGTCTCAGAGTTTAGCTTTAAGACTGCATAGTTGGCTGTTCACAAGTGGGTCCCACTCCCCTTGGCACTCAACAAGCAACGAGTGCTGCACACCAAATTCAAGGCTTATCAAGTATGGTTTTTCAGCAAGCGCTGTATGCCCCTGACTTGACTTGGTGTCCAATTTCGCGTTCATAATGTGACTCAAATATGATTTTTTCGCACCTACTAAACGAAGTACAAAAGTATTTCGGAACAAAGGGGGGGCATTTTACCAAAAAATAGTTGAATCCCTTACTCTTTTCCTAGCTGACGAGCATCGCGGAATATGTTCTCCCCGCTGTGTTGCCTAGACAAAGACCACGTTTTTAAAAAATCCTGTGTCCAATGCCGTAACCTATTGCATACTGCATGCACTGCAGTAGGACTCAGCTAGAAATTCTGAAGTTAACTTTAGTGGGTTTTACGCAGTTTTCACATGCAGAAGCAAACGCATTTGACCGTCGGTCAAAACTGAGCCAGACTTCATTTTGGCAGCCCCTGTTAATGCGTCGGGTGAAGGTTTTTCGTGGGCCCACACTCCGCACCCCTTCAATTCACAGACGATTTCAGATAAAGCGCGGCTGCCGTGCAACGTTATACCCGCGACCAGGGTTCGGTGCTGCTAATGATTAAACAGAATCCCATTCCTACCCTCTTCCCCCTCTCTCCTCCACTCCTAAACGTCAGGCTCTCTCTCGGCTCTTCGATGAATCTATCAGGATGGGCAGAAAAGAACTTCTACGAGATGGTGATGAAAACTTTCTCCGCCAGGAAATCGATTTGGTGGAGATGATGGAAGACATCGGACAAGAGATGGAGCATTTCGGTGGGACGACGGGGCACCGAATTCCGACCGCTGTCAGACGCAAAATTAAGGCCTTTACTGCAATCTCGCAGCAGAGCATTGTGGGCAGAACCCAACTGTACAGGCGAAGAGTCGTTAGCTGTAGCCTGTAGACGAGGCCACTGCGACGGAACCCCTTAACCAGTCGCCACCATTATCCCATGCGGCAGCTTTTGCGGCGAAAGGAAACAATATGTTTTTATGAGTTCATTTGCATTCCTCTCTAGATCTGAAGAATGTCCCTTATTTTAAGACGTTTTGGAAGGAATAGAGATGTTTGTGGTCTTTTTCGAAATTGCATTAAAAGTAGTAGTGACGCGGTTGGGCGTTGAAGCCTCTGCAATATTAGCCTTATATAAACCTCATGATGAGAAACATTTTTGCAATCTTAAGCTACTCTTTATTTTAACTCAAAATTTGGAAAATACATACTTTGCCACCTAAAGAATTATTTTGCTTAAAATTTTGTATAAATTATATTTGAATTTACTAAGACAAAAAATAATAAACTAATGCTCACTGCATATGTAGAAAATCTTACTAAATTGTTTGTTTAGGCAACCCAATAAATGTGAATTCAAAAACTGAAAATATATTGAGATTAAACTAAACGTTAAAGGATATTATAATCCAGCATACGGTAATCCTTTCTATGCGAAAACGCATTTCATTATAGTGATATTGGTCACTGACTGTATTTTGATTTCTCGTTGGACGTTTATATTTAAACTTTAACATTTCGTATGAGTTTACTAAAAACTTTCACGTATTAATCGTAGCTTTGCACAAGCCAGGTGCAATTTTTGGCTTCAGGAGGGTAATGTGTTTACAAAAGTTGCAAACCGATAAAATTAATAGGCAAAGAACATCATCGAAAAGCCAAGAATAACTGAAATGGCAACTTCGGGTATTTTGGCCGTCGTCAGCTTAGATATGGTACTAGTCGTTGAAAGACTGCTACAAGGGAGTTCCAATGTTTTTTTCGGTCTTTATTCCCGTTTTCAGTTTTTGCAGCTTTTTCTTGTCCTCTCACAGGTGAGGCCTTGTGCTTAATCTTAGAAAGGACGGAAAGGTGATTTCTAGGACCAGTAATTTATTCATCTGACGTTTCACATCCTACTAAGACCCGCTCCGGTACTTCTAATTAACACGAAGGCTGAACCAAAGAGCCCGTATTATAGAGACAAAGAAAAACCAGTCGGTCAGAGAGAGTGCGTTTATTCAGACAAACACTTTAAGCAAGTCAGCATAAGTCTTTAAGGGTAAAAGGCACAATATATTTAGGCCAACAAATGAGTGTAAGCTAGGTCCATCTAGCCAATCAGCTTCTGTTCTGACTCGGCTACCGGAAAGATGGGCTGTGATTCAGCGGCTGAATGCGGTTTTAATTTTGAATTATTTATTGCCTGATGGCCTGTATGCGTTCGCCTCATTTAGGCCGATCGATAGCCTTTTGTGAGTGTGGCTGCTTGCTGCATGCACCCAACACATTCTCATGCGAGTCAATCTTCGATGACTAAGGAAATTGTACAACTCGGCGAAGTGCTTATGGCCCATCTGATAGACCCAGTGTGTGGACTATACGCTCCGTACTGGAGTGCATGCTTGTCTTTCCAGTCCCAGCCGACTTCGGTCTGGTAGGTGGTGTCCTGTTCGTTACCATTACCAGTCATACGGAATTTGTTTGCTTCGGCAAGCAAATGGATCGGTGTACTCCCACTACTGTTTATAAAAATATCCGATCTACAAAGATAGAGAATGACAGACGGTAAGGCGCTGATGAACTTCGGTTTGATAAAATGCTTACGACCTATCTACTAGACCGACCGTGTGGGCTATCCACGCGGCACTCGAACGCGTGTTTGTGTTTGCAGTCCTAGTTGGAATTTAGCGGTATGATTGACCGAACGAAGTCAGAATATGCACAAAATTGACTGTATAAATCTAGGACAAGCCCCTATGCGACTGTATGTGTTATGACCCACGCCAGATACTTGTAATTGGCACGAACTACGAGCTTGCCCGACAGTTGTTCCCAAAACCAGTTAAAGAGAGGAAGAGAAGACAACCGACCATGATAAGAAGTGTATTGACACAGAGCAAGCCACTCTCACAAAACCATTGCTGTATTAATTCGGTCCGCTTGATTAGAAAGCGTAAGTGACAATGGACCAATCACATTTGTTGAGAGGGGATTATGCACCTGATTTGGGTCCGGTTGCGTTAGTGCACTGCCGCCATCGGATCTGATTGCGGTGACGGTGAGATGGGAGAAGAACGTAAGGCGATCTCTGGAGAGCATCGTCTGACCTTTGACACTCAAGTTTCAGTGCATCATCTGCGATAGAGGAAAATGGGAAATACACACCAGGCTCTGGTCATATAGGTCCTCTCTCCTTGCCCAACTTGTGTCTAACGGCCTCATTTGACACTGGTGGATCCATCCCACGGTTGATAGACTTGGCATCCGATTACCAGGCATCGATTACATTTTTCACTACCATGCTTTCTGCCTGGTCGATTACTCGTGCACCGGCAAACCCGTTCCTGCTACTGTTTCCTACTCATGTCTCTGATAATGAATCCGCGACGGATTTCGAAACGTCAGGCGAATAAACGTATTGTCCCAG